TAACGAGTTGAGCTTGAGCCGATTTTAGGCTTTTTAAAGTTTTATTTAATTATTGTTAAACAATAATATGTTTATAATTAACTATTATGTTTAGACTTACTTTTCGATGATGTTTTTATCAAATAATGTTTGTGACCAATCATTACATACAAAATCATGTCTATATGGACGGGTAAATTTTTTATTTAGCTTGAGATTGTTAATTTGTAAAGATTGAATTGTATCTAGGTTGATTAGTATTGTTCATGTTAATTAAGTTTTATATTTATTAGCTTACTTTGTTGTAAAGTTTTTCTCTTGATCATTAGTAATTTCTTTTGTTTCGGTATTTTTTATTCTTTCAAGTTGAAACTACATCTATTTATTCTTTATAGTTTTGCTTACACATATGTATGTTATCGTTGCTCGAATATGTGGGACGATGAAGGAAGAACTCAAAGCGGAGGGTGAAGAAATGTGGGAAGACCGGTTACAGAACGTAAAGAAATTGAAGCAAAAAAAGCAAAAAATTGCAAATATGTAAAGTTTAATATGTGGGTTTCAGGGATGGCTAGGCTAAGCTAATGCAACGTCATTTGCAAAGCATGACAAGATGTTTTTGAGTCTTCACCATAAGGTGGACCACTTTCTAGGAGTCCCTTCTAAACGAAAATACTTCGTTTAAAACATTATTTGTTTTTTTTTTTCTTTGTATTATTTATTTTGATTTTTTTAAAACTTCATAACCGACAAGCAGCAAAATTGATCATCGCATTGGTACTTGTCTAAAACCTGGTCAAATAATTATATATAATATTAATTTATGTTTTACTTGAACATACGAAACTATGAAAGCTTAAAATCCGGGTAACTGAGTAGTAACGATATAGTTTAGGGTCTAACTTTATTTTCATTACTAGACGAATTCCCGCGCGTTGCGCAGCGAAGATTAAAAATATATTGTTAAAATATTGAAAAATATATGTTTAAAATGGTTATGTTATTGACATTAACTTTGAGATTATATATATATATATATATATATATATATATATATATATATAATCTCATTTATTTTGAACAATAATATTCATTGACATCAACCACATTCCTCATTAATAGAATCAAATATAATTATCTATTTAGTATTATTTCTAACAATTATTATTATTGATTAATTATATTTTTACTTATGTGATCATTTTCTAATTTCAATAAAGATGTTCATTTAAAATACAATTTATTTATAGCTAAATGTAATTTATAATTTGATGTTATTATCATTTAAAATTGTTATTCATTAATTTTAAACCACTTATTATTAATAATAAGTTAAAGAAGACTTTTAAGAAACACTTAATATTATTATTAAAATGTGAAACATACACTAAATAATAAAGTGATAAGATAGACAATTTGCATTTCAAAAGAGACTTGCATGAATAATATGACATATCCATGTAATTTGATTTTATTATTTATAATTATTGCTTATTAATTTTAAAACCACTTGTTATTATTAATAAGTGAAAGAAACTTTTAAAAAGCACTTATTATTATAACTAAAATGTTAAACATATACTAAAATATAAAGTCATAAGATAGACAATTTGCATTTTAAAAAAGGCTTACATGGATAATATGGATAATATGACATATCCATGATTTTTAATTAATTATTGTTTTGAAGCAACATGAACATACAAACATGTATACAATAGTTAATTAAATATTATATATATCACCTTCCATAACATATGATCGATAACATGAATCTAATCTAATTTACATTAAAATTTCAACCACAACATACAATGATATTCTTAAAAGAATACTTAAATCAAGAAAATACAAAAAAGAATTAGTATATAACAAACTTATAAATTAAAAACTTCAACATAATAACATGGCTCGAAAGATTGTTCAAAGCCCTCAAACCAACACAAAAAACTTTAAACTTGTTTTCTTTGTGAATTTTGTATGCGATTTGTATTTGTGTGTCTACTAAAAAAGATTGACCTTTTTATAGTAGAGTATCCATTAATTGTTTATTAAATATATTATATAAGTTATAAAACTTTTGAATTGTTAATCATTATTAAGAGACTTTTGAGTGGTATTCATTAAAATAAGAGGTTTCAAATGCATGAGGTGTTTGCAAATTTTTATGGGGGTTTCAAATGCATGAGGTTCAAGGAAAAATGCTAGCTTTATAAGTATGTATGATTATAGCTTGTGGGGTAGTTTCACTTTCTTAGAGGCAAATAGATGGCGTAACTTGGGTGATGACCTTATGGCCTCTAAATTTTTAGGTCTTTTATATATGTTATTATGTTAGTATAGAATAAAGTGGATATATCTTGTATAACGATTAAGCGAATAAAGAAAGAAAAATGAACCAAAACAAAATCAACAGAGAAGATTAAGGGACATTCGATTCTTCTGGAGTAATTATCACACTAGGTCTCTCACCACCATCGATCAAAGGACTCTATGAATCTATTCTGATTTTTTGAACAATTACAAAAAATTTGATTCATAATAAATCGATTATGATTTTTTCATGCAATCTTCTGATTTCTATTTCAACTTCTGTTTTTTTATTTCCATTTTCAATATTTCTTAATACATCGTTTCTGATATATGATTTCACGCATCCTTCAAAAAATTGATCTTGTATTCATGTTACAACCTCACCGATTCAAAATTCTGATTTTTTTTTTGTGTTAATCTGGTTTGTGATTCGTGTACATTGTAATATTTCGATATTGTTCTTCACTTATTTCATGTTAGTTTTCTAAAAAAAAATTAATTTTTGTGCTTTCTTTTTTCATTCCTGTACATAACTTGAAACTTGAATATCATAAGTTTTGAAATCCTTATTGCTAGAGCCTAGAAAATGATTCAAGAAATGTTATCTTTGTTGTAGGGATGTCAACGGAGGCAAACAGGACGGGGAGTACATCCCCTGCCCCCGCCCCCAAAATTTCCCCGTTTCCCCACCCCTGCCCCCGAAATGTTCAGCCTTCCTACCCCCGCCCCCGCCCCCGAATCCCTTTTATTACCCCCGCCCCTGCCCCCGTTCCCCCGTCCCGATTGATTTTGGGCTGCCTTTTTTTGGCTAAAAAAAGTTGTTATTTAGGCTAAAAGAAGCTATTTTTAGGTAACAAATAATTATTTATAGCAAAATTTTACATGTTAAAAATAAAAAGCTATGACATCTTAAAAATGGTATACTAACAATTTATAAACATTTTTTTTGATGACTTTTTGAAGCTCAAAATCATGTTATTGTTTATTATATTTATATAATTAATATATGTAAATATATGTGTAATTTATTTACGGGGTCCCCATGGGGGTTTCGGGACGGGATTGCTTACCCCCGCCCCCGGTTTTTTAAAAAAAATTCCCCCAAACGGGACGGGCCCCCACAGAACTTTTTGACATGCCTACTTTGTTGTTGGGAAACAATTCAACGTTACAAGCTCATAATTAGATGTTTTTTTTTCCTTTACTTGTTTTTTTTCAATTTTTTATAAGTTTAAAATAATAATATTTTGCCTAGAAAATATTTATCTAGTAGTGAGAAAAGAGAAAAATAAAACGAACAACTAATTATTTAATTTTGAATAGCAAATCCAATCTTATCCTAAACTACTCTAAATTTCACATATGTGTCAGATGAGACTTGAACCCTCGACCCCAAGAAGGGAGGGCAACACGTGCTATCGTCGCTGAACAGAAACCTTTCGGTAAAACCGAAAAAACTAATACTATTACAAAAAAATCTAAGAATAAATAACCATAACCTATTTTAAAAAAACAAAAACAAAAACAAAAACAAAAGTCGACTACTAATTTTTCTTAATAATGTTTTTTTTTTTTTTTAGGAGCTTGAAATCGGTGTGGATCGACATTGCTTTCTTACCCTAGTTTCCCTACTTACTTTCTGACATATGTACTAGTATTTGCTTTTAACTTATTTCTTTCTTATGTATGTTTCTACTACTTGCACAATTATCCATATTTTACATGCAGACGTATGTGACCTTTCTATGTGTAAATTTTCCTTTTTGTTTGTCTGTATCCTCATTCAATCATATATCACTTAGTATTTTTATCACAAACTAATGCTTTTTTTTATGCATAGAGCTTATGCAAAGATAACTTTAATTTATGGACCATTACAAAAGTTGTACTCTTATATATTTATTTATTTGAATTTATATTTTTAATTCTTCTTTACCAGATGTCTGTTACGAAAGCAGTCTCTCAACCTAACATTAAATTTGGAGGCAGCCAACCAATCTAGCCTTCCGTGACCTTATCTCATTTGTTTGGAACTAAGGTAATATTGTATTGAAAAAATAGTCATTATTGTGATTACCCCTAAAAACCTAATTTATCAATTTTTAAAAGAAAAAACAAATAAAAATTCACCTGGACGTTGATGTAGCATTTTTTGCCATATAAAAATAGTTTCTATATAATACCAATTCAACAGCATGACCCGTTAAAACGAAAAAGAAAAAGAAAAAGAAAAAGAAAAAAAAAAGATACATTGTATGAATATCAGGTAAATATAAAATAATTAAGGATCTGATCAGTCAAAATATAACACCCTTTTGCTAAAGCGTAACATTAGATTAACAAATTTAGTTTTATATTTTCGTGTGGGGCCCTATCTTTGACAAAACCGCAAATATCACCCTCCCCGCAAAACATATCTTAATCGAAGTAGAACCAAAGACGGACACGAATAGAAAATACATAGAATATTGCGGCCATGCGCGGTTTCTACTTATGCTTTGTGGAACAAATAAAAGTATCAAACCCTTCCACTTTTTAATATTATAAATCACATCCCTTTACTTTTCCTTTTTTACATTCACTATTCAACAACGTTGAAATGCCATGCAATCTAGTCATAGGGTTAGACGGTTAGGTTACCTGCCCCAATTATGCCATGCATCCATCACTCTATATAAACTCACATCATTCATTCATAATCTTCATAACATTTAACACACTTCTCATTTCTCAATATCAAATAGACATACTTTGCACTAGAAAATGGTGTTTTCTTCATTTGATATTCTTATGAAATCTGTATTAGTTATGTTATTTATTGGAGTCGTTTCTGCTCAACTTTCACCCACTTTTTACTCGAGATCTTGCCCGAAGCTTCTTCCAACGGTGAAATCGGCTGTGCAATCTGCTATTTCAAAGGAAACCCGAATGGGTGCTTCTCTCCTACGACTACACTTCCATGATTGCTTTGTGAACGTAAATTTTTATTCTTTATATCCATGAATTTTACATGTTTCGAAATCTCATCAGATTATACAAAGTGCTAATCATCGACATTATTGCAATGTTGCCTCGTTGAGTTGGTTGGTACTTGATTAGAATGATCTAATGGTGTTAGTGTAACCATATATATCAATTGTTTATTAAAATACGTGGATAAACAAATAATAAAATTCAACATCTCGAATCCTTTATTCTTCTAGAAAACCATCATTCAATATGTGCATGGTGGCATTCACTTTTTATTTGTTAGTTAATTGACCAAGTGAAGTCCAACCTAGTGGGACACATAATCATGTAGCAATCAATGTTGTCTTATAATTTTTTCTAAATGTACGTTTACTTTTTACTTTAATGTTTAAATATCATTATTAATTTTTTTTTTTTTTTTTTTTTTTGTGAACTTGGGTTTTAGGGATGTGACGGTTCAATCCTTCTTGATGATACATCCTCATTTACCGGCGAAAAGAGGGCGGCTCCTAACTTTCGATCAGCTAGAGGTTTCGAAGTTGTGGACAATATAAAATCAGCTGTTGAAAAAGCATGCCCTGGTGTGGTCTCCTGTGCTGATATACTAGCTATTACTGCTAGAGATTCTGTTGCAATCGTAAGCCCTCTTTTACACCCAACATGATTCTTAGGCCATGTTTGACGCTAGTTGAAAAGTTAATTTTTAGCTTATAAGCTACCACAAGACAAGACAGCTTATAAAAAAGCTAGTTTAGTGAAATTGCAAATGGGCTAATTTATAATTTATAACTTAACTTATTTCTGCCACACAAGACATGAAGACCTTACATGGTGGTAGCATAAGTTCCCATCTACTTCTTTTCTTCTACTCACCTTAACAGAACATCTTAAAACATCATGTCTATAATAGAATTACTAATTTAGTGTTTAATTTGAAATTGAAGCTTGGAGGACCTAGTTGGAATGTGAAATTGGGAAGACGCGATTCAAGAACCGCAAGCCAAGCTGCAGCCAACAACAGCATTCCTCCACCCACATCAAGCCTAAGTCAGCTAATCTCTTCCTTTAACGCGGCCGGTCTTTCGTCTAAGGACATGGTGGCTCTTTCAGGTCAACCTTGTTGTCTCTCTCTTTTGACTTATATACAGTACTTAACAAGCCAATTAGAATGCTATTTTAAATTAATCAAGTCATATCTATTAGTAAAACAGACTAAATATTATCTATAAACTACGTTCTATTAATTTTTTAAAAACTTATATCATTTTTATTTGTATCTTAAATTTCTATTTATTTATAAATAAAAGAAAAACGTAAATATTTTTTGTTAGATGGATTAACCCAACACATTTTAAGCTGGCCCAAACCTACCCAAGTAGTCAACCCAACAGAAATTTTAACCAGATTTAACGACGTCGCTTTGAAACTAAAAACAGGTTCCCACACAATCGGGCAAGCAAGGTGCACCAATTTCCGAGCCCGGATTTACAACGAAACCAACAATTTGGATGCGTCATTTGCCACATCAAGGCGGAGCAACTGCCCAAGAGCCACCGGCTCCGGCGACGACAATTTGGCACCACTTGATATCCAATCTCCGACGTCCTTCAACAACGACTACTACAAGAACTTAATTAACCAAAAGGGTCTGCTCCACTCCGATCAACAGCTCTTCAACGGTGGCTCCGCCGATTCTACCGTCAGACAATACAGCAGCAACCCCAGTCTATTCAGCTCCGATTTTGCTGCCGCCATGATCAAGATGGGTGATAATAAACCGCTTACTGGATCCAGTGGAGAGATCAGGAAGAACTGCAGGAGGACCAATTAAGGATTTCAATCAAGTTCGGTGTTTTTTTATATGTAAAAGTGTTTCAAGTGTTGTTCCAGTCTTCTTCATCATTCTACTTTTGATTGTCTAAAAATATGTATTTTCCGGTTTTTTAAAGTAATATTTACATACCTTTTTTTGAGTGTGTTTGGATGAGCTTCAAGCCTTCAAGTCTATGATAAAATTGTTTACATAAAATGGATTATGAATATAATTTTACCTTTTTAGGGTCATAATTAGTTTTGCAAAAGAAATGAAAACTTATTAGAAAAAAAAATTAACTAGAATAAATGTAGAATTTACCATATCGATTGTAAACATAAAACAATATAAATCAGCATTTGGACGTGCATCAAATGATTATTGCATTTTTAGTCGAGTTTCAATTGACTACAACTTATTCATATTCTGATTTCCTGATTATTGGAAATCATAATAATCAAAACTGGTATAAGTTGTAAGAAAACTAACGGTTAAAACAGATATAAAATCAACTTACCATAAATTTAATCAACTTAAATCTTAGTAATTTGTTTCTAATGATTCAAAACTCTTTAGGGGTGTTCGTTTGGATTGATCGGTTCGATCCAATCCAATCAAGTGAATCCAAATTGATTTCAGTTTTTAAAACATTGATCCAAATAGTCCAAAGTAAATTCATATCCAATCCAATTACAATTAAGTTGGATCGGTTTTATAATTCGGTTTGAAAAATCAGAACATTTTACAATGATATATAATTGTAATATCACCGAATTTTCAGCAAAAACAAATATTTAATTGTATTTAAAAATTATAAACAATTACTAATAAGGTATATTATAGTTTAATATTTTATAGATAAACAAACTTTTGAGAGAAAATACATATATATGTTTGTATTAGGCGAAACTTTTTAAACCTATCTGAAAAATGTATTACAACATTAATAAATAATTATAGATATATTAAAAACAAACAAATAATAAATTGTTATTCAGTGTTTTTGTGCTATTCGGTTCTTATTTTACAAACCAAAACCAATCCAAAATATTAATTTGGTTTTGTTGAAAAAAATCTGATTATTTGAAACAAATAGTCAAATCCAAATTCAGTTTTATCCAAATAGTGAACAACATAAATATCTTATTATGCTAGATGTGTATAAAGTAAAAATCTTTATGATATTAATGCTCTGTATAAACTTGGTTTTAAGTGAAAAATAAAATTGATTACGAACATCCTAAATGATAAAAGAATTACTAATTTAACCTTTTTGTGGTGTGTAAGGTACAACTAACTGAAAAATGCTATTTTGGACGAAATATACTTAAATCGAACGACCATAAAAGTCTTAGTGAGAACATAAAATAGTTGAATTATAGTAGGTAAATATCTAACTATGAGGAAACGAGATAATACGACATTACAAATGAAATGCAAATCAGTTTATATATGTGTTATACTTTGAAGGAATACGTAATTTATTTAGCTGTTAGTAAAGAGGCCTAAATATCGTTACACCAAAAAGTTGTTGAACTAAAGCAAGCCAACATTAATAATTTATAGAATAAATAAATCGTATTGTCATCAAGAAATACATAAAATCCGTTTATTGGCCTTCTAACTTCTAACCATATAAGCGATCTTTTATCTTTAGACTTTAGTCTGGAAAGAACCATATAAAAATGAAGTTCTAAATATGCGGCAAGATGGTAACTACCACCCTAGGCCACGAATAGGAGTGGAGATGGGTTTGCACTTATTTAGGCCCATTTATATATTCAAAAGATACATCCATCTATTTGTTAAAATAGCCCATTGTTGGTAAAAGTAGCCTCCACAGTCCACACTCCACAGTCGACACCAAGGAAGTGATTAAGTTTGAGAAGATTCATCACGTGACATCCCAAAATTTCCGACTAGAAGATATATGTGTAAACTTGTGTATGTCGAGAATCTATATTTACATAGACAGATGCTAACCCAAATTTACCGTATAAAACATTCTACTGTAACGTGTACACAATTCGGGTGTCACCATAAAACACCAAAAACATAATTAGTCTAGTAACCTTCTTAGAAAATATATTACAAAATATAACGAAAATATGATTTACAATCCATATTGTAAGAGCATTTGAGGGAAGTGTGTATGGCACCTCAAAGGAAACTAAAATCATTTCCTAAGGGTTTGACATAATTGGTCCCTCTTTTTTTTTTTTTTTTATCTATTTTGACATTTTTGGTTATTTTTTAGGAACCTTTTAATATTCAAAGTTTGGCCACAAAACTTTAAGGAATTGACAACTTTGGTCACTTTTTTAAAAACTTGCGAATTCCAACCCCTTATAGTAAACTTGCTTTTTTTGTCAACTTTGCCCCTTCTTTTTTTACCCATTTTGACACTTTTGATCATTGGAATCAAATTTTTTTCAATTTTTAGGAACCTTTTAATATTCAAAGTTTGGCCACAAAACTTTAAGAAATTGACGACTTTGGTCCCTTTTCTAAAAACTTGCTAATTCCAACCCCTTTAATTCTTTAGCCATTTTGACACTTTTGATTTTGACACTTTTGGTCATTGGAATCAAAATTTTTACATTTGTTTAGGAACCTTTTAATATTCAAATGTTGGCTACAAAACTTTAAGGAATTGACAACGTTGGTCCCTTTTTTAAAAACTTGCAAATTCAAACTCATTTAATTCTTTAGCCATTTTGATACTTTTGGTCCTTACAGTCAAAACTTTTATATTTTTTCATAAAAAACACAAAAAACGGCCCTGGACGAAGCCCAGATTTTTCCGCTAGTTATTATTTTTTTTTTTTTATTATATCGTTTCTTGAATAGTTTTTTTCATTAATTTAATTATCATCGTACAACGAGTGAGATAGAAAACGGGCAACAAGCTGCGCCGCTAAACCTTTTTGTATGACAAAACTAATTCTTTTAAAGAATACATCCATAGATCTAGGGGATATAACATTGTTATGCATGATCCGTTGTATTCTATTAAGAAGCTTTATATCAAGGTGGATCTTATTAGTCATGTCGAGTTGATTTAATAACTAGCTTGAGCTTACTTAAGTGTTAGTTTACGATCATAACTCACTACTTTCATGTGTAACAATCAATTTGTTATTCAACTTGTGCCAACCATTGACGTAGTCGGTTGTAGCCAATTTATCAATTCATTAGGCTATCCGACATGTCTTCCGGAGGGGTTTGGTGGTTGAGGTAGAGCTCGCATACACCACGCCATGAATAGCACGGGTCCCAAGCTGGAGTAGATCAAGTGGAAGGGCATCAAGTTCCTTTTTCTTTCTCTCTCTATTTATGATAAAGCTCTGGAGGTGCTCGGACACACAATGTCCCTCAAGTGTTTGATGGTGTAAGGTGGTATTCATGGGGGTGGGGCTTGTGTGCCAGATAGTCATAGTCATGATTTTGTAATATTATCGAGAGATACATAGACTAAGTTGACTATGTCCTCACAATAAATTTGAGAGTAGCTTCAAATTGATGTCGACAACTTATCATCTAATAAGTCGAAATAAGTGCTTATAATGTTCAACATCCTCTAAGGTCCCGTTTGATAGTTTATGTCTGGGAAAGTGTTGTATGGTAAAGTGTTGTCTGGGAAAATTTTCTGAGAAAGAAACCATGTTGTTTGATTGTACATCTAATTGACTATGCTGAATGATGAAAAATGACCCGGTTTATTTCCGATAGTGGTGGGATGGATGAGATTTTTTAAAATAAATTAGGATGGTGGTGGTGTTGTCCAAAAATAAAAAAAAAAATTAATCCAATAAAAATGAATTAAAAAATTAACTAAAAGAAATTAATAATCCAGTAAGGTAATATTTATTAATATATAAATATTATATATTATAAATAATATTTATGAATGTATAATAATCAATTAATCCAAAAAAGAATTATTTAAAAGAAATTAATAATCCAATAAAATAATATTTATTAATACATAAATATTATATATTAAAATAATATTTCTTAATATAAAATAATACATTAAAAAGTAATAATTTAATAAAAAACTTATTTAAAAAAACTTATTTAAAAAAATTAATAATCCTAGAAAAAAAGAAAGATGCGGGGGTTGGTGCATAATTGTCTTTCCAGCCCGTTCAGCCAGAAAGATCTGATTTTGGGGCTTTCTTGGAAAGACATATCTTACCGGGAAAGTCCCATTTTTTTTGTGCAAACAAACAGTCTTTCTGGTCCATTCAGCCAAAAATATATGTTTGGACCTGGAAAGATACGTATCAAACGAGGCCTAAGTTTGTTAGACCTTTTGTAGAGAGCATCTTTGTGTGAGTTTTGAAATTGTGTGTAAGATCATATTAGATTTGAGATTTACATTTTATTATGCACTTCAACCAACTTTATTAGTATAAGAGAAAACATGGTCTACATAATACCACACAAACCCTATCGCACGTGCTAAACATCCCCTTGGAGAAGGGGGTAACGACTAACCACCTAAGAATTGAAGATCATCAACTTCTTTAGGGTGTTTTAGCGAATCTTGAGAATTGAGATGGTTAATCTCTTACCAATAATATATAGATACATAAATTAGTAAAATTTTAATGACAACTTTAAACACAATTTATACATGCCATAAATTATTTTAGTATATTAGTTAATAATAAAACATGATTACATAATATATTCACTAATGCCTTGTTTCCAAGTTCTACTTAATGAGAGAAATGGGAGGATACGGAGGGAAAGTGAAGGGTGGCGAAGGAAAACCGTGTTCCCAAGTTTTATTAATGGAAGGAAAGTGAAGGGAGGGGAAGAATTTTGGAGCCATATTTTCCTTCCAAGTTTTCCTCCCAAATTTGGCGGATTTGGGAAGAAAGTGAGGGGAAGGAAAATTTCAAGTTTTATTTTTTTTTCCTCCTAACTCGGGAAAACAAAACTTAAAATTTTTCTTTTATTTCCTTCGAACTCGGAAACACGAAATAATGAATATTTTCCTTCACCTCCGTTTCCTTCCCCTTCCTTTAATTAATCAGCGAAAAAACTTGGGAACAAAGAGTAAGCAAAAGCATTGTGAGGCCAGCATATACGAATAAAACCAAGATTCCGACTCATCATTTGATCCAAATGTGATATTTTTGACCAACCCAAATCCAAACCTAATAAATGGTATTTTTAAAAGGTCGGGTTCAATCCAGCCCCCAAATGGCCCCATAAAAACAGAGGGCAAATAGAGTACTACTTCATCGTCTTCTTACACACGAACTCTCACAAAATCGATACCATGGAGTCGGCTTTTGGTTTCCGGCTGATTCCAACCACCCACTCTTCGTTTCTTCCACACCACCTCCCCATTAAGCTCAGATTACCGGTGATTCTTCTAATTTTTTCGATTATTATGTTTGTTCGTATATACATATATGCTCATAGCTTCTGTGTTTTACAGAGCTTACAACGTTCGAGCTTCGTTGAGCAACAACGTAATCGAAAGAACGTGATTACAAGTTCTTATGGCTCCGAAGAAAACGGGCCGCCTGATGGATTCCAGTTCACACCAACCAAGATTTTTATGGAAGAGGTAACTTTTTTGTATCCAATATGCAACCCTATCGGTATTTGTTGTTTTTCACCGCTTCTTTTTAGGATAATCTTGTCGAATTAGGGGCTACTCGTAAAATTATCCAATTGGGGTTTCTGGGTTTTGATTTTTGGAAATTCTTGAGTTGTAATCATGGGGTTTATACGATTACAGGCAATCGGAGCTGAATATGGAGAAGGTTTTGAGACATTCAGACCAGATGGACCATTAAAAGTTGATGTTGTAAGTACTATACTGTCTCTTAGCCTTCACTAGTAATTCAAAATGAAATCTATTTCTTACGAAATGAAAATTTGATGCTCATTAGACTTAATTCAGATAGCAAGTGTTTAAGATGATGGGTTTTTTGGTTGCAGGATTTTTTAAATGATCGACTACAAGAAGGTTTTCTGAAACGAATTCGATATGCTATGAAGCCTGATGAAGCTTATGGACTTATTTTCTCATGGGACAATGTGGTGGTAAGTTTGCGAATCTATGATTTATGTTTGCAAGGTTTTCTGGAGTCTCTTAACAATGACATGGTACATATTTGATTGAACGACACTTAGTAAACATATATGCAACTATTTGTTTTGTTTTTGAACTTGATTCCCAGTCTCAAGTCTCAACTTCCAATCAAAAAATAAAAACCGAGTTGAATGCTTTATATCTATACAAATGACAACTTATTGTTTATTGCTTTAGTCAAGTAGTTTTAGCCAACTTCTGAAATGCATTTGTTTATGGTGACCAGGCTGGTACTCAAGCATTGAAATTGAGTGCTTGGAAACAACTTGCACATGAAGAAGGTATGTAGAAATGATTTTTTAATTGCGTGTGGTGATAATTGTGTTATTTAGAGACCTTAATCCTGCACCTTTTTGGTTTGTTTTTTAGGGTAACTTATGCTCACTTTTATGTTATTAATGTAGGAAAGGAGATCCCTGATGGTGTACATAGGCTTTTGCTTCATGGTGCTCCTGATCATGTTTTACATAAGGTTTAATCCCTTCTTGTATATAAAACATAAATCAATTTCGATTTGTGTTATATTTCCTGGATTTTATTTTGCCATTTGCTGTACTTGCTCCTAAAACTGTCTTAACTCTTAATCTTAGGTGTTGCTGTGGGGGGATGAAGCATGTGAGTTAGAAAGATTAAAGTCGAAGCTTTCACAGTTGTATAGCAACAATCTCCTTAAGGTCGGGTCTTTTCTTTAGTCATTATGTGTCTTTCATATCAATGAATGAATGGCTCAAAATCATGTTTTGTGGTTCTTGATCAGCTTTCAGAACCCTTGGAAGGCCTGAAAGAGTGGTTGGATGCAGTATCAACCGCCCGAATCCCTTGTGCTGTTGTTTCTAGTCTTGATAGGCGAGTCATGGTTGAAATATTGGAAAATATGGGGCTCATGACATATTTCCAGGTACATATATTTTACACATTTGTGAGCATGTCTTTTTAAAATCTTGGTTGACTGACCAAATATTTCGGTGTTTATACTTTAATACTATAGGCAATAGTAACGGAAGAAGATGGCATGGATTCCATGGCTCACAGATTACTTTCTGCTGCAGTAAAAGTAATTAGTTTTCCTTGATAAAAGTAATAAATATAAAAACATTTTTGATTATTTCAAAATGTGATTTTTATTTATTTATTTTGTAGTTGGATCGAAAACCGTCGAAATGTGTGGTATTTGAAGATGATCCACGGGGTATAACTGCAGCTCACAACTGCACGATGATGGCGGTTGGGCTTATTGGTGCACATCCAGCTTACGATCTGGTGCAAGCTGACCTGGCGGTTGGTAGTTTTAATGAATTGTCGGTGATTAACCTGAGGAGACTTTTCGCACATACAGGGTCAACTTTCATGGAACTACAAAAGCAAGTTGTAGAGAAAACACCTCCAAGAAGGAGACTTACAATCGACACCATCTACTGATCGAGATTATTCCCATAAATTCTTGTTGTAAATTTTTGTAAATTAACAAAAACCAAATCTTTATTAAATAGACATATATATGCCAAAGTCCCAAAGTCCAAACCACAGTTTATTTAGAAAACATAAAGGAGATATTAAATTAGTAATTATTCTCTACCTCTAACCACCATATTTGAGGCTTTTTCGTTCTTCATAATGGCATGAAACAGTGAAGCTCGATCTTCTTCGACTATTTCTCTAAGCAACTCGTCTTCAATCTTGGGTGCCGACCAATGAGAAGGATCTTCCACTAGTTCTTCACTGAAAATCATACTTGACACCCATTCTTTCCATGTGGTCCTGCTGTGCTTCTCTTCTTCTAGAGTTCCTGTTGCAAGCAACTGGTAGACATAAACCACTTTGTCTTGACCAGGGCGGAAAGCACGAGCGATGGCTTGTTTGCTTTTAGAAGGATTCCATTCTGAATCCAATAAGATCACCCGTGAAGCTGCTGTTAGACTAATTCCTTCAGCACATGCATTGATGGAAGCCAACATGACTTTTGAAGGACCTCCTGGCTCTTCAAATTTATCCATCACTCTTCCTCTTTCAAATAGCTCCAGCTCTCCTTTAAGGACTAGAACCTCTACGCCTTGTTTCCAGCCGTAAAACCGCTCGAATGTTTCTATAAACAGATTCATTGGAGCAATGTTGTGGCAAAATATCAGGACCTTTTCTTTTCTGAGTAGACAACGAGGGACTAAATTCATCACAAATCTGACTTTGGACCCAAGTTTGAGGTCGAATTTGAGTCCGTTGAGGGCTTCTAATTCTGCGGGTTCAAAATACTGACTTGCACATGCTGTGGTTTGTATTAGCCACGGATGTATGGAGCCAAGTGTGATTAAAAGTTCAAGTTCTAAAGGGAAGCCCTTGTACACTGGTCTCCTGTCTTGAAGCTTTTGCAAGATTTCTTGTTGAATGGTGGTGGACTTCATCATTAAAGTGTAACATTGCAGACCTGGAAGATTTTCAGCACTTCCACCTTCGTAATTGTCGATGAACTTGCTAGTTAAGCTTCTTAGAATGTTCAACCCTTGTTGTCTGTCCTTTTGAACGTTTGAGTTGATTTGTTCTGCTATTTTAATAACAAACAATTTTCTCGCTCTGTTTTCGAGTGAAAATTTCGAAAGAACGCCTTTCTTTCTACTCTTGAATTTAGGATCTAGTTTTTTCAAGACCTCGTTGACGAAACGCGGTCTGGCTAATGTCAAAGTGTTGAAGTATTCACCAAAGTTGTTCTGGAAAAGAGTACCGGATAGAAGGACACGTAACGGGGTGTCGACTTTCATCAAGGCTTTCCTTAGTCTTGACTTTGTGCTTCTTGGGTTATGACCTTCATCGAGAATTAAAATCCCAGGACATTGGCGAAGGACTTTAGCCATGTATTGGCGATGAGCATAGTTGGAATCTTCGCGTGTAAGTGTTAGAAAGGAAGTGTAACCCATTAAGAGGACGCTTGGAGTTGTAAGCCATTTTTGTATTTTCTCTAAACAGTCTAACACATGCATCACATCTTGGTTTCGGGGAAGGCCGGGAGCTAGTTTCAGTTTGTTTTTTAAAACTTGTTCTCTGTATGTCTGACCACCGTGGATTTGGTAAACTGGAATCGGAATCTCCCATTTAATGATTTCTTTGTACCACGTGTATAAAGTTGTTTTTGGAGCCAGAACCAACGGGCGGGACCCCGGAAACAGCTTCAAGTAGCTAACGAGAAACGATATTATAAGCAATGTCTTCCCGGCTCCTGGAGTGTGAGAGATGACACAACCGCCTCTTCTCTTGCTGGCTGCTTCCATTTCTGAAGGTATGATATCGCCAGCTAGATTTCTCCACAGAAACTCAAAAGCTCTTTTTTGGTGAAACCGTAGTTTGTCTCTAAGGTTTGGAATGAGGGCCCACACGTTTTCGTTCTGGTCTGATACAGACATGATGGATGAAGCAGGACGACATGCAATTGCAAGGCGTGTGTCTGCATCTTGTGTGTTCTGCTCTGAGTCATCTTCTTCTGTTCGGGTTTCTTTGCTAGGCGTCCAGACTACACCTGGTAACTGTAAATTCATACAACAAACACAATTAATATTGGAAATGTTTTTATGTTTATGAACTTACAAGCAGGGATTCACAAGTTTAACTTACGAAGGAAGGTGAGATGTCTTTTATTTCAGATCTCACATGACCACATAATCTACAGATAATCCCAAACTGTTCATTGAGTCTGTAATCATGTCGACATTTAGGTTCCTGGTTCTTAGATTTTTGCATTTCATTTAAACCCTGAAAATTTAACTGGAATGTTAGTATACCATGAATAAAAAAAAATATATACAAAACTAAAAATGTCAACCCATAACACATAACACACCTCTGTCTCTTCCATAAGATATGTTGTGGCAAGTGCCAATTCCATCTCCTTCCACAAGATTTCAAGTTCCTTTTCTTCTGTCATCTCTTCTTCTTCCTCTTCTTCTTCTTTCAAAGGTACTTGATTATTCTCCCTTAGTTCCAAGGACTTACCCATCTGAAACTGTTTCCACTGGTCAATCACAGCTGGTTGTTCTATGTTGATGGATTTATCTATATTCCTCATGCATCTGCTCATTAGTTCTCTATAAACACTTGCACAAACAGATTTCCTAAAAGAAGTCCTTGAATCATAGATACTCTCCTTTCCAGAAGAGCCTCGCTTTTTACGACCTCGCTTATTTACTATATTCCCCTTCCACAATCCACCTCCTAAACTATCATAGTCCATTTGGGGAGCTTTGTATTTCTTTCTATGAATTTTGGAAGAACCTTGCATGCTAAAGTATTTAGCCCATATGTTACTAATATTAATATCACCTCCTTCATCATCAGAAGCTCCAGGCTTATAAGAATCAGCATATATGTAAGGCCTTGATGAATGAGATTGAGAAGCCATAGAATTAGAGTGTTTGTGGTTTTGTTTGTGTTCTCCTGGATCTTGTTTGTAAGGAACTTCTGTTCTCACCTCCTTTGACTTGCTAGTTTCATTCTGCCTTCCAAGATAACCCTCTTGTTTATATACTTTCCTGAAATATTCCAATTTATTTTCATCTGTGAACGAATGATCATCTTGGATGGAGAATGCCACTGGGACTTGCTCGTATTTTGAACTGTTTGGTCTGTATAATCCAACACGAGACAAATCAACTTCTGCTTCTGACACATCATCATCACCTAAATAGCGATCAGGTTGGATGTTTCTACGCTTTGACCTGCGTAAGCCCATGAGGTCAAAGTAGGATGATGAAGCAAATTCACCCACACCACAAACAGCTTTCTTTTCCTCTTGGGGTTTTATAAAGGGGACAAGGAAAGGAGTGGAATTTCCATTTTCTAGTTTGAAGTTAACAGCAGTTGAAGGATTTTCAGAATTTGGGAAACTTTTCTCACTATCACCATCCCAAATTTGATACACTATCTGGTTGTCGACTGATCTCACATCAAAAACAAGCTGCTTAAAGACAGATGCAACAATTAACCATGAGATATCTGAGGAGAATTTTCCTGTAAATAGTTTAAATATTCGGCGTGAATTGCAGTCTTCAGAAAGATGCCAACGATAATGGTTACTTTCACAAGGCTTCCCTTCAAGCTTTTGAAGAATGGACATCTGATCAATATGTAGCATTTTAGTCTCTTTATGAACCGCTTTCTTGATCAAGCCAACAGGACCTTGCTTCATGTAGATGCTCACATGGAATTCACAGACGCATTTATCATCCTCATGAGGCTTCCTTTCTACTGAGCTTACTCTAGCATCAATCCAGACCTGTAAAAGTATAAGTAAAAATTCATAGATGTGTGTGTTCTTAAAGAGAATAGTATGGTTTTGATTTGACTAGAAAGCAAGTTACAGGTTTTGGATTCTCATTGCTTGACTCCTCCTCTGTTGATGGAATAGTAGAGAGCACACAAACATCTATTCCAGGTCTTAAAAAGCAAGTGCAATCAGCCAAATTTGCTTTTCTTGACCTTATTCGAAGGTCTGACATGGGAAGGGTTTCTTCAGTTGTCTCTCCTTCGTTTATGATTAACATGCTAACAACTCCATTTCTGATTCTTAAGCACTCCACAGGCTTCCATGAACCACACCAGTATGCTTCAAAAGCTGGTTGCATATAAGAAGAAACATTACAAACCTTTAAATAGAAAACACAGTTCAAGACAAACGTAAATATGTAGATATATTTATATAAACATCTGTATCTTACGTAGTGGATCAAATTTATGTGTGTTTTGGTGTAAATTAGCATACTTCCTCTTCATGATTCCTTTTCACAAGCCCAAGCAAAACTTTGAGAATTTGTCTACCTGGAATTTATAACTGAATTAGCATCAGCTGATGAGATCTACATTTTTAGGCATTTTCCCATACAAAGACATTGTCATGTGTATAGCAGTTGGCTATACATATAGCAATTATAATTTATGTAAATATAACATAAAGGTAATAACTTTTTTTATTAATATCACTCTGTCTGTAGTTTAGCTCATAATTCGACCATTGAACATCATTGTTTCCAGCAAAATAATGGTCAATTAGCAGTTTCGTTGCAAAGAAGGAGACATCATTCCGTGATTGAGATATAACTCTAGCAGAAAATCAAAATTTAATGAAAGGAAAACTTATATCACTATCCGAAGATCCATTTCACCATGAATACCATGTCACCATGACAGGTAATCATGTCTTTCTTTAGATAAATTTGCAATTGGCAACAGTACATCTATAAACTTATGCCTACCCTTGTGAACAAGGGGAGTAGGATTTACACGGCATAATTTATGTGGTGCATGGGTGGCAAGAATAAACAGAAGAAACAATTTGCATCATAGTCCCAGAGTTTGTTGTACTTTCCTAATGTGAAAGATTAAAAGACAAATGAAACAAGCCTTATTCCATCTTCTTTTTCTAATATTAATTATATAAGGGGAAGAGATTATTTCTTCTTTCCTACTCCTTTAAAAAGTGCGTTATCATTTTTTTGTCCTTGGTCAATTTAGGAAAAAAAAAGGAAAATTTTTAACATTGCATGTTAGACTGATTCTAAGATGCAAAAAAAATATTCTTGTCTTTTAGAGTAAGAAGAAAATGTGAAGTAGTTGTTGTTGTATTTACTTAAAAAAGAAAAAAGAATAAAACAAGTAAAACTTTTGCACAAGTATGTAACTTCCAACAAAAAGATATTATGTTTCATCAAAACAGAATGTATTTTTCTTTCCCCTTTTTCCTCTGGCATATGAAATCTGGATCTTTCTTCTTTTACTCGAAATTAACACTTAACAACTACACACACAAAACTATTATCCATATTTTCCTTTAGGGAATATACTTACAAGGAAATGCATTAGTCAAAAAAAACAAAACCACCAAAAACAAACTTCACCTAATCAATAAGAACAGAGAAACAAATCAGAAAATCAGATCATGCCAAGTTGGACTGTTATCAAACCACTGATACACATAATCAGAAAACTTACAGACTACACAATTGGTGCAAAAAGAAAGACAAGTCAATTGCTACGAAGTCTCTTCTACAAGTCCAACTATTTCCAAGAAAACACAAGTTTGGGTTTAATTAAACATGAAAATCGGCAGTTTAAGATAGGTAGGCGTAACAATGCTGCTGTACAAACATCACAGTCCGGTGAAGCATTAATTGAACGAAGATGGATAAGAACGGATGTTAATTCCTTTTGGAAAACGACATATAACAAAACTAATTCCTGCAAGAAAGGAAGCGATTGCTACTAATTCACGTCCACAACTCCAACAATCTTCCAGGAACACAAAGACGAATCAAATTGAACTTAACAAGAAGCGTTAACAAAAGCAGTGAATGGACGACAGCGAATAGAATCAATAGCTATTGCAATTGAAAAACTAACAGATGGCACATTTAGTATTGACAAACTAATTCCTGCAGGAAACAAAAGCAATTGCTACGCTATCATTCAACAACTCCACAATCTTCCACTAAAACGTACACAGTCCAGTCAGATCAAACCTGAAAACCGGCGTTTAAGATACGCAGGTGCGACGATGATGACGAACGAACAAAGCACATAAGAATCAGTGGTGATTCCTATTGAGAAGCTGTTAGATACCACAATTAGTATTGTAAAAACAAATTCCTACACGAAAATAACGCAAATGCTACTAAATCACCTTAACAACCAGTCAAACTCAAATTATAGTATAATCAAAACTGGAAACCTACGCTTATGAATGCTGAAGTAGCATCAGAATCCGGCGAATCAGTGCACGGATGACGGAGAACGGGAATCGATACTTAACAGAGAATCACTGGGTGAGAGGAAAGAGAAAATTGCAAAGAAATTTGTGCAACATTTTTATCGTTATTCTGATCAGTGAATCTCGAGGTTTGGAGTGTCTTGTCTACTTTTTCGCTCTCATATCTGTGCATGAAACACACACATACACGGAGAGAGAGAGAGAGGGGGGCACGAAAATCCAAGGAGAACGAGAGCGGAAAATCTTTGGGAAAGGAGCAGTGTGGCTAGTGCAGAAAGAGTGCTGTAAAGAGTAAAAAGCGTACACGTAGGTGGGGCCTACTTACGGAGTAGTTGTGAGCAAATTGAACGGTTCAGATTTGTTGTTTGTTACTCGTGAGGTCATTAGAGAGATCCTTGACATTTATAGAAAATTTACAGTTGGGTCTCTTAATTTGAAAATACCACCATTTCGTCATTGAAGTTTGTATCTCTTTAGGTTTTAGGAAGTGGGCGTGGTTCCAAGATACGGTTTTGCCATCTGGACCGCGAACACCGCCCTTGGGTGCGGTTTTGGCCGCAGTGTGACGAGTTTTGGCCGCGTCTTTTGATTGGATAGTGCATCTTTTTGACCGTTGAAGGGTCCATTGTGCATATATATATATATATATATATATATATATATATATATATATATATATATTAACAATAATTCTTACAAAATATTCACAATAATTCCTTTTTTTTACTATCTTTTCCTCAATTTTTTTTCAAAATGTCTTCTTACAAAATCTTCACATCATTCTTTTTTTATATTTTTTTTAAGTTAAGCAGTTTATTGGCATTTTTATTTTTAATTAATGAAATATTATATTTTTTTTAAATAAAGATTTTATCCATTAAAAAAATAATAAAATAAACCCAAGTAATGCAATGTAATGTTTTTTTTTAAATGAAGTTTTATTTGATTAAATTATTTAAAAAAAACAAAAAAACAAAAAATGTAGCACCACTCCTTGGGTGTGGCAAGAAACCACACTTATATGATAAAAAATGATGTGGCGCACATGTGACATTGAAGGGAGTGCAGTTTCGGTGACACCACTCCCTCCAGCCTTAGGTTAAGAAATTTGAGTGCCAACTTCATGAAAAAAAAACAATGTTATTTGATAGTATGTATAATTTTCTTACGAGAGAACTAAAACAGGCAAAATATAAGTATATATACTCATAAGATTGATGGAAATGGCGGTTTATGTTGGTAGAAATTGGTTTTTGAAAAAATAAAAAGGTTTATGTTGGTAGAAATTGATTTTTGAAAAAATAAAAAGGTTTCAGGTGTCTCGAGTTGTATAGCAAAACTGATCAGGCAAGCTAGACATTGTGGTTGCTACAGACAACTTAGGTTGCTAGGTAGAATGAGTTGTCTCTGACCGGACCCTAAAACTTGTCAGACATTTGGACAAACATAAGGGATTAGCCGGTGTTCATGATCAAACTCATATTATATATAAACTAGATTATGACCCGCGTAAAACGCGGGGAACATATAAAAATGTACATATAAAGGTATAAAAAAATTAGTACTATAACAGAAACAGACTTAGCATTATTGGTAACATTGAAATGTCTGAAAAAAAAACAATGAAACACCTAAATATCTATAATTGTTGAAAGATCTCTTTGTAGACATAACTTTTTGTTTTATTAGTTGGATGACCTTACTCGTCATATATGAGTAACTTCAATCATTTTTCACTTGTGACACAAGAAACAAAAAACATATAACTGACAATGAGTGAAGACGTGCATACACAGGTATAATCAAACATTTGATAATTATTGTCATTGACTTTTGTTAATGGCCATAACAAAATAAACAACCATGCGGAATTGCTTCCGCTAAAAACGAAATGAGATTCTTTTATTAGACGGAGTTAACTTCCTACAAGGTATATAAGTAGTCTCATTAAAGAATTTAGCATATATGATTCCATCTTCAATGATGTGTCTTCCAATCCTAACAATATGTAATCTAGTACCATTGCATAGTCTTTTGGTTTGCTCGATATTACGAAGTAACATGACTGGAACACCTATTTTTAGGTAGTGTTTGTTTTTTGTCTGCAGATCTGCGTGGCCTCTTCTGTCTGCGCCGCGCAGACCACGCGCAGACATTAGCCTTCGCAGATTGTTTGTTTTTTTTAAGACAGCAGACCTAAAAATGTCTGCGCGCCCTCTTCTTGGCGCAGATGTGGACCAGAGTCTTCTAACATCTTCAGACATCTTCTAGCCTAAAAAAACATATATATCTTTATTTTGACAAATTTATAAATAAAGATTTATTACAATAATAGTCGTTGAAGTTGTTTATATAAATATGAAAAAAAAATCATAATATATTCTTATATTTTTTTGCCAAATTTTGTAAAACATTATTTAATACAGTATCGTCAATTTATCGAGAAAATATTTATGGTACGTTTTTAATGGATTTAATTGAAAAAATCGAAGTTTATTTCCATCCATTTTTGTATCAAATTCGTTGATCACTAATTATAATGTTTAGTTATAACATTGCAACCAAAGTTGTTGGTTTTTATCAAATATATACGTTAATTCATACCATTTTTATTTTTATTTTTTATAAAATAGTACATCAAAGTTGATCTAGATTCGTTAATTATTTATAACAAAGTCATAAAAATATTAAAAAATCACTTTGAAGTTTAAAAAAATCAGTTTATTTAGATTTCAGTTTATTTTAGTAGCCCGCAGATGTTAAAAAAACAAACAGTCTTTTTTTTTCAGACTGCAGACGTTTGGTCCACCTCTTCTACTGCAGAGGTCTACAGATGTGGTCCGCAGACTGCAGACATTTTGCCTCAGAAAAAACAAACAACACCTTAGTGTAGGTTTATGGTTGGAAATAAATTTACATTCACGCCATAATTCAATAGGGGAAGCAAAACAATTTACGATATACCTAAATAATCAAATGTATATCAAATCGATAACATTAACTGAAAATGTTCAAGGTTTAATGTTAGAAGTTTGATGTACAATTTAGGAATTGATTTTAGATTTACTACAATTCAAAGTTCATTGCCTGTTTTGGATGATTACTCAAATTACATTGCTAATCTCAATGGGGGTCACTAATATGGTTGATGGTCTGGTCTTGGTCGATGTGATGTGTTCTTCTCAATCATGAAATCAATGTGGATAGTCTGCAGACCATGAGCTGAGTAACACCTAAGTGAAACATTTTAACACATTTAGAACAACATAAATCCATTACCTTGCATATGATAGTTGGGTAGGGCCAAACAACTATTACAGGAAGACCTTATTAGGTGTACCCATTTATCCTTGAGAAATTAAACTTAATGTTCCCAACCCTATTTTCAAGAGTGTATGGTGTACCCATTTATCCTTGAGAAAGTAAACTTAATAAGAAGATTCAAACCAGTTAAACGAAAGAATAAGGTTGTGAAAGGTTCTTACTATGCTTCTCGGCATGCCCAGACAACGCAACAACCAAAAAAACCTGCTAATTAACCAAAATTAATCAATCCCAAACATTTTCCAATAAGATTTATCGATGTAATCTATTTACATGGTATACTAAAACTTTGTCTTTTCTTTGCTATTGAGTCTAAAAGATGTTTTTTTTATAATATTAAAAAATGATAGGTGAATAACTTATTTCTGAGAGCCCAATTTTTATCTTTAAAAGATGTTTTTTTACAATAAATCAAAACACATATCACCACTGGGTTTTACTGAGTTGTAGAATATGTGGATCACTCACTGGTATAACGGTTTAAATTTCATCTCCAAATTCGGGATCGGATGGGTAAAGCATTATAGATATTGACTCAAGTATATCTTCCATTCATGACTTGGTAAGCCACAAAAAAAACCATTGACTAAATGCATATACAAAAATGTAAAAATAAAAAAGAAAATCGACATATACAAATTCACTACCTAATGGACATATCTTCCAAATCGAAACAATGGATGAGGTGCTGCTGTGTCCATCCTTTTGCTCTCCAGATATCTATAACTTAAAAAATCAAAATCAACAATACATATCATAAGAACAAAAATCGAAGCATATTCAAAAAATGTAACCATTATGGATTTAAACTTAAATCGAAAGGTTTTATAGATTGGAACTTCATAGTTGAAACAGAATAAAAGAAACATAATCTAAAACGTACCCAAAATCGATCTAAACTACGATCAAATTAAAGTAGAATCCAAAGAAATTTATCTCTATATCATTCCTCCTTCTTTCGTGACGATCGAATACAAGACTGATCTACACAGATCGAAGCCCACATATATTTTATTTCTTCTTTCCCCCATTTTCTTTTCCACTACAAAACTTAGGTTTGATAAATTATGTAAAGAAAAAAGGGAGAGAGGGTAGGGGTACTGGTAATGAGGGATGGGCGGGGCATTTTTTCATTTTATTTTTGGTGAGATTTAATTGTCATTAATAAAATTCCTAATTTAATTTATTTTATTTTTGGTGAGATTTAATTGTCATTAATAGAATTCCTAATTTAATTCATTTTATTTTTGGTGAGATTTAATTGTCATTAATAGAATTCCTAATTTAATTCATTTTATTTTTTGTGAGAGTTAATTGTCATTAATAGACTTCCTAGTTTAAAACGTAATATATGTTTTATAAAATTTGTGGACAAAAATAAAGGGGTTGACAAAGATGATGTCAACAAATAATCTAAGGGTGAAAAATATATGATTGAAATGCAATCAATGGCCCTGATTTCTTCAATTTAAAATTAAAGGTTCTCTTTTAATAATATTTAGAGATAAAAGAAACATAATCTAAAACGTACCCAAAATCGATCTAAACTACGATCAAATTAAAGTAGAATCCAAAGAAATTTATCTCTATATCATTCCTCCTTCTTTCGTGACGATCGAATACAAGACTAAACTACACAGATCGAAGCCCACATATATTCTATTTCTTCTTTCCCCCATTTTCTTTTCCACTACAAAACTTAGGTTTGATAAATTATGTAAAGAAAAAAGGGAGAGAGGGTAGGGGTACTGTTAATGAGGGATGGGGCGGGGCATTTTTTCATTTTATTTTTGGTGAGATTTAATTGTCATTAATAAAATCATACATACTTATAAAGCTAGCATTTTTTCTTGAATCTCATGCATTTGAAAACCCTTTTTTAACTAATGCAACTCAAAAGTTTTCTTAATTATGATTTGACACTCAAAAGTTTTAT